AGGTTTATCTTCATATTTGTCAAATATTTTAACCCTCCGTTAATACCCTGTGGTATTACCACAGCAGTAATTCTGTTTGTTTTATCAAACATCGCATTTTTTATTATAACAAATTATACATAGGCCATTTTGCTATTATTAGGTTGGTGCAAAAATAATGACGTAACAATGTCGTTTTTGACGTATTTTTTAACGTCAAAAAACGACATTATTACGTCATTATTTTACACCAACCTAATAATTTTCTTATTAAATATTGTTTTGATATTTCCTGGTTTTATAAGACAAATAAAAATGAAAAAAATATGGTTTTATTTTGAAAAATTGAATTTAAAGTGCGATATAAAAAAGGGTTTTTCATTTTCATTGTATGCGGCCTACCGTAAAATCATGCTGAAGACACCAAAGTTACCGTTCGATCACTGAAGTTAAGCAACGTCAAGCACGGTCAGTATTTTGATAGGGGACCGCTTTGGAACATCAAGTACTGTAAGCAACTTCCTACAATCCAAAATATGTTTCAGCTTTAAATAACCCACAAAGGGTTGATAAGTCGTGAAAAATCATCTCAATCAATCATCGTATTTGGTTATAAGGATAAATTAACGAAGATTTAGCGATTGGAAGATTTTTTACAGAATTAAAACCTTAAAATTATATTCTTTATTATTATTGTATAATTAGAAAAATTTCACCACTGATGGTGGGAAGCTTGCGTGATCCAGTGACTCTGAGAGCGATGCCGTTGGGACTTCTAAATTCCCGGTAGCGTCACCCTTAGCGGCAAGGTCGAAAACGAGGACTAAAATTGAGAGCAACCAAAGACTCAAGCGGTGGAACAAGCGGATGATTATTACAACAGATCTCAACGGTTGAACTAGAGGATGAAGAGGGCTACGCATTATGGATATGCTACAGAAGGCGCCACTCAAAATTATAAAAGTGTTAGCTGTAGTCCGTTGCAGTTTTATCCATACAACGTAAAGAAAGGCATCGTCCGCTGCTTACAACACCGATCAAAAGTCATGTGGTAACCCAGAGACATTAGATAAAGAATTGGTCAGTATAAGCAGTACCCTACAACGTAACTACTACCCTGGGTACATGGCAGCAGCCCCTATAAACTGGGATAGGCTGGTACAAGTTGACGGCAACAACACTTAGAAAACAGTCTTGCCTGCCTTATTTGAAGGGGTTATCAGAGAAAATACAAAGGATCGGCGGTCCATATATCATCAGGCCACCCTTGAAAAGCTGGACGACACTTCGTAGATACCTCTCCCGAGTAAGACTCCTCATAGAGTAGAACATGACTAAAGACTGTGTGTACGCCATCCCGTGCATCTGCAGAAAGAATTATAAAGGGAAAACAGGCCGCCCCCTTAAGGTAAGCCTTCAAGAGCACCAAAGAGCTGTAACCCGAGAGGAAGTGGAAAAACCAGGCTTGGCTCACCACTTATGGAGAGAAAAGGGAGATCATCGCACTCTGTGGGATCAGGTTGAAATCATAGACAAAGAATATCATTTGAAAATTCGTAAGCTTAAGGAATTAGCACATATGCAAGGCCACAAAATCTTCTGAGCCGACCAAGCATAGATATGAATACAAAATGGGAACCAGTAATAAGGAGTACCAGAGAAAAGCAATAATAACAACGAACGAGTTCAATACCTGGTTAAGGCAGTAGAAAACTTGGAGAGGTGAATTAAGAGGAGATTAGTGATAACTGACATCCATTAAACATGGCACGTGGAACGAGAACAGTCTACCTCAGCGAAATAAAGGGTTCAGTTCGACATTCCAACCACCTGAAGAAGGCCGGAGCGTACAACGGCCGAAACTTTGTGATAAATATCGCAACAAAGTTGAGCACAATATTACGAATAATGTAAAAATTTATTTATTTTTGTTTTTGTTTGGGGATTCACTATTTGCCCATAGCTGAGATCCTAACAGCTGCTACCACCCCGGATATGTGTCGACCTGGGAAAAACAGTAATTAAGAGCTGGCCACTCGTATTCGAGGATACCCGTCTACTAGGGCGGCTAGTCAATCCTTAGTACAGACGCTTGCTCAGGCGCATTTGTGTTTATTCAACACCCACAGAGCCCCCCTCTGCTTTATACTGCAACTATGTTGAGCAGACATTAATTAAAGTTTCTGGGAAAGAGTGTGTTATCTAGCGTTATCAACAATTTGATCAAGGCCAGTACGCTCAAGCCCTCGGCCATGACGACTTGTGACTTCGTGCTAGCACAGCTATCGACGGTCTCCAAGGGTTCCGTCTACCTGATTTCACTCACAAGGCTTGGGTCAACCTGTGATATGGCACAGGTTGACATAGTGCTTCACGCTGGGATCGAGCCCTCCAGTCTAATAATATCAGGAAGACTCCTTCCTGACAAATCGATGGTAAGACTCGAACGTGGGTCTCATGGTCAGAATGCAAACGTTCTAACCACTCGGCCACGTGGAGTAATATTATGACTAAACCCTGCCGATAGTTCATTGACAGTCGTATTTGGAAAACGACTTTAATCATGAAAATTTGAGTTAACACTTCATTAAGGAAGCTATTAAGAAAAACGTGTATCAGGGTGTTCAACCCCCCCCCACGGTATTAAGAGAGGATAAAGATGTGAAGGAAAATATTTGCAGGATAAATTGAGCCATATCATCTTATTCACTGTGTTGACAGATTTGGGGCTTTGTTTACGGAAACTGGAATTCGTAAAATCTTGAACATCTTGTTAAAATGTAGCGTTGTTAATTTTTGTTAATAAAAATCTCTCTAAAATCTATAAAAGGCAGGATGTATGTGTGTGTGTGTGTGTGTGTGTGTGTGTGTGTGTGTGTGTGTGACGAACGCGCTGCCGCAATTTTCGACGGATTTGCATCAAAATTTACATGCACATGCTCCAAGTTAGCGGGAAGGCCAAGACCGACTTTGCATTTCCCAACTCCCATCGATAGGGGAACTAATCGATTTTTTCATGCTTCTTCAGCAATTTTCATATAGTTTGCGGCCATTTTCTACTGGCCAGAGTGAGAGCCAACAGCTGACTGACACGAATGTTAACTAGCATGCTAGCATGCAAAAAAAAATCGATAGCTGCATTCGTCACAAATGGGAAAAATTTACATCTGCATGGCACTTTACTCCAATGGGCTCATTCGCTTGCGTAAACTCAACGTTGATTCTGATTCCGCAGAACTGGGTTGGGTGTGAAAAAGTATTTGTTAACATTCTTTTTTCATTCAGTTTTTCAAGTTACGAGTCCTTTTTTAAAGCTGATCGTTTTGTGTTCATTTCGTTTAGTTCTTTTTTCGTAACAGATTTAATGTTTAGTATAGAGATTAGAAAAATTCGCAGTGTGTGATAGGCAAGAAGTAAGGCATGTAGCAACATCAGCACGGCAAAGGGACCTCTTTTAAAGTCAAGGAAGGGCAAAAATATTTTAAGTTAAGTGATAGCGATTGCTGTATGAGCCGTACGATTATTGAATCAAGCACGTGCAACGCCGGGCCATACTGCTAGTTACAAATAAAAGGAAAACACAGAATAAACCTATGGCGTTTGATTCGGTCTTCAACAGCCATTTGACTCTCGGACATCAAATAGAACAATAACTGCAGCGTCCCGATTGAAAAGACACACGAGTTCGAGCTCTGCTAACAGCGGCTCTATAGCATCTGATATTGCAATATTGTTATTACAACTAGCTTATTTTGGAACATATTCCGAAATGTGGGGCACCTGGTGAGAACTGAATTCAGTATAGTAGCAATCAAATATGTTTTTCACTATTATAATTAGTTTAGTGTATATATCATTCGGAATGTAATTTGATCACATTATTACCCTCCCCTCACCCGCTTTATTATCAGTCTGACTCATAAATGTTGTCCTACAGGTGCATGCTGAGGATGCCATGGACCGAACTTGTGTTATGGAGTGGTTTCACAGTGGAGGCTTGTATTTTGTACTAAGTCGGTCCTAAAATAGGTTCGACGTACAAAACGTTAGGAACTTGATATGATAAGTAATGACGCAGAGAAATCTAGTTGTGGTCGCTGATACGCATCGACTGACTGACCGACCCACTCAGCTACTCCTCGTTACTCTTACTACTCCTACTTATTATAGGTGGGAGAGTCTATTAACTATAGAATAGGTGTGTTCCACTATAACAACATGTGAGCAACAGCAAAGTTCCAGAGACAATGGAAACAAAAAAGAACGTTTGTACTTAACACCCGGAAGGCAATGTCTAAAAATTGCTAGCGCATATAATGAGGAAAAGGGGATTAGAAAATTTGATACTCACAGGACAGATTGAAGTGAATGGATTGCGTAGCAGCATTTGGGAATAGCCACACGAGAAAATGTATTAAAAGCTACAAAGAATAGGAAGCTCTTAGAGACATGATCCCCCACCGAGTCATGGAGTAAATAAAAAAGAAGAGCTTGCTAGCAACAGCTCTACATTGGGCGCTCTTGCAATATTTATATTTATTAAAACTGGGTAATTTTGGCATTTTGGCGCAAAGTCCAAAATGTGGGGCACCCGGTGAGAACTGGATTCAGTATAGTAGCAATCAAAGATATTTTTCACTATTAGAATTCGCTCAGGGAGTTTATGGTTAGGAATCTAATCTGATGTTTTTAGTAACCTTCCTTCAAGACATGAGGACATTGTAACATCATCAATTATTTTCTGTGTCATCTTTTGAAACAAGTTATTCATCACTCGGACTACGGTTTTATCACATTCCAAACAATGGACAAAAGCGTTATTAGGATCATTGTGTACATCCCCCCCGTCTCCGCGATTATCACAGACAACATTTATTTTACAGTCAAGCGTCTGCAACTTGCATAAAAATTATGACTAAAACTGGAATGTCCTTGCAGTTCCGAAAGCCATTTATCTAATAAAGAGATTTTAACTTGTCATTTGCTTAACATTTTAAGTAATGTTCAAAGACAGTGCTAGCTTACGGCCATATCACGTTGAAACACCAGTTTTCGTTCGGTCACCGAAGTTAAGCAACTTTGAGACTGGTCAGTACCTACATTGGTGACCGCTTGGGAATATCAGGTGCTGTAAGTTTAGATGAACGTGTAGTGTAATGGATAATGGCTCGGAATTGTTAATCGAAGAGATGAGTTCCAATTCCAATCAGGTTCTCTTTAATAGATAGACGGCTTTCGGAACTACAGTGACTGTTCGGTATATTCACTTACACGTAAAAACCCTTGGTAAAGGAATCCATCCACTCCCTTTACCTCGAGCTATGGGTTAATTAGTAAAACTTGTATCACTAAAATCATTATAACCCTCCCCCAATTCTTACACTTTAAAAATATTTTATGACTTTAAACAAAAAGGAAAGGGTTGATAAACCATAAAAAATTCGAACTGAGGGAAAAAATCGGTTGCGTTATTATAGATTCCCTGATTAAAGACTACAAAAATAGAATGTCCTTTTTTTTATTGACATAAATGTTCCTGCAAGTACAGTCCACACTCTGCAAAAGGCTTTATCTATGTAAAATGGCCATATATTTATTTACATTGTTCGAACTGTTTTCCTCGTCTTTATTGCTATATTCACGACGTTTCGGCCGTTGTACGCTCCGACCTTCTTCTGGTGATATTAATGGATTCATACGTTTCCCATTAGTAAAACTTGTATCACTAAAATCATTATAATCTTCCCCCAATTTAAAACTATTTTATGACTTTAAACAAAAAGGAAAGGGTTGATAAGCCATAAAAAATTCGAACTGAGGGAAAAATCGGTTGCGTTATTATAGACATTTTTTTTTTCAAATAAAATACTTTGCTCTTAAATGCTAGCTGCCTAAATGAAGTGGTAAGAGAATATTTCCGGAATATTTAATAAACGGGGTTGGTTAAAATACGGAAGCCCCGAGTGGATTTGGAAGTCAGTAGTAAGAGCAAAAAGAAGTACTAAAGATAATGTGCCAAATTTCCTGATCAAAGACTATAAAAACAGAATTTCCTTTTTTTTTTTATTGACATGAGACTGTGATGTATCTTTGAAGATCTGCAAGAAAAAAATAAGAACACAAGGATCTTCGTAATTCCATTTCCACAAGGATCTTCAGTAATTCCATTTATGGCAGAGACTCTAGGCTTGACTGGAAAATGTTCTGATAGATTCATTGTAGGAATCCCTGGCCCCACTACCTTGAAAAAAAATATTCCTGCAAGTACAGTCCACACTCTGCGAAAGGCTTTATCAATGTAAAATGTCTATATGTTTATTTACATTGTACGAACTGTTTTCCTCGTCTTTATTGCCATATTCACGACGTTCCGGCCATTGTACGCCCCGGCCTTCTTCTGGTGATATTAATGGATTCATACGTTTCCCATACGCGTGAGTGAATGTAACGAAACTGACTGTAATTTGAACCGAACTCGGCTCTTATTCCGAGCCGTTATCCACTACATTAAGTGCACATCTAAGCTTACCTCCCCACCCCCGTATTCCCAAGCTGTCACTCTTCTAGGTACTGACTAGACTTGGCGTTGCTTAACTTCGAGGATCGACCGGGAACCGGTGTATCAACGTGATATGCCCCGTAAACCCACTCCTACGCCCATATTTGTGACTTTGTGCTAGAGAAAGTAATGATTCCGCCTCCTCTCCGTTCCACCTAAGAGTTAAAAAGTAGAACTTATATCTGAAAATCATTATTATCTACAAATATTGTTAATGCAGTATTCACTCGTATATTCTTACAATGCAAAAATATGTCTGGGCTTTAAATGACCTACAAAGGGTTGATAAAAAGTAAAATAAAATCATCAATCACTAAAATAACAATATAGCGAAACTGTTGGGAAAGAATTTATATCCTTGCAAGTCTTGAATAAAATAGCTTTTTCTCTCCTTCGAACGCATTACACTACTTGAAATTTTAGAAGATTTCAGAAAACGAATATGAATATTTAATAATATCCATTTTTTAACCAAAGTGGAGTATTTTGTTTGACATAAATTTGTTCAATAATTAGGGCAAAACATCTTGACTAAAGAAGTGATTTTTTAAAGAAGAAAATATATCGGTAGAAAAAACTTAGAAACAAAAATAAAAAATCTGAGGTGCATTGGATCGTACAGTTTCGTAAACTTATTAAGTTATCGTCTGCTTTCATCATTACTGTGCCATTTCTCTTCCAGGCACCTTTACACTAATAGCATTTTTTAAAAATATTTTTTTCTTTTGATTTCATGATTACAATCAACGTCCGTTTATATTTTTTTCTTTTGATTTCGTGATTACAATCAACGTCCGTTTATATTTTCAGTTCATGCGATTAGCTTCCTTCATTAAGATGTCAGCTTGCTTGCTTTTTGATTTTATTCATTTTTTGTCATTATTTTGAGGATATCGTGTCGATAATTCAAAGTTCGTTTCAATAAACTATTCATTTTTTTTTATAAAATCAAATAATTCGTGCTTGACGTTTTGAAATTTGTTAGCGTTTTATTATTTGCATAATGTTATTCTGTTCACATTTAGGAATTCTTTTTTTCCCCCAAATTCTCATTTCTGTTGGGATGGTTACGAAAAACACTTGGCTCCTATGTTCCATGGACATTGTTTAGACAAATATCATACACTTGTATCAACCCGCTAATGAACGTTATGGACACAATAGGACAATTATGACACGAGGCACTAAAATTTGGCATATGGTGCTCTCGAAAGAATACCTCACACCGTTTATTCATTGTAATTATTACATATATCAAGCACGTCTCTCTCTCCCTCCCCTCTCTCTCTCTCTCTCTCTCTATATATATATATATATTTATATATATATATATATATATATATATATATATATATAGTTAAATTTCCAGGTCAATTCTACACTGCGTGCCAAATTATTATCGAGATAACTTTTTTTATATTTCAAAAACCGTCCAATCAATTCACACAAAAGTTTCACACAATGTTGACAATACTGACCTGCGCAATCACTGAAATTGTCGACCTGATCTGCGCAATGTAAACAAACTGGTGCCATATTTGTTATCAGCACGGCGATTTGAGCGTGCCAAATTATTAGAAAAGTGTAAGAATTCTAAAGTTCTAATAATTTGGCATGCTTAAATCACCGTACTGATAACAAATATGCGCCAGTTTGTTTACATTGCGTAGGGTGAAAATTTTAGATTTGCGCAGGTCAGTGTTGCTAATATTATGTGAAAATTTGTGAATTGATTGAACGGTTTTTGAAATAATAAAAAAGCTATCCTGATAATAATTTAGCACACAGTGTATCTATCTATCTCTTTCTCTCTCTCTCTCTCTCTCTCTCTCTCTCTCTATCTATCTATCTATCTATCTATATATATATATATATATATATATATATATATATAGCTACGAGTGCTTGTTCATATCGTTCTTCATATACATTTAAGATAGTTCCTATCTTTCTGTCCCTCTCAATCTGTTCACATCTATCTATGTTCATGATTCAGTGTGTTCATATCTGTGTTTATCTAACTAGCTGTTTTACATTGGATTACAGAGGTTCGGAGGGCGCATATTTTCACTAATAAGATTTCTGCAATATTCAGGCCAGTAGACGAATATATATATATATATATATATATATATATATATATATATATATATATATATATATATATATATATATCATAGGAAATTAAAACAAAACATGTTAAAAAATCGCTAGACAATAGCAATCATGTTTCAAAAATACAAATGTGTATCGTCGGACGATGGTAAATTACTGGCAAGTGAACGGGTGAAGGAGACACATTAGTACCGTTGAAACACGATTGCGATAGTGTAGCGATTTTTAACATGTTTTTTTGTTTTAATCTCCTATCATATATATATATATATATATATATATATATATATATATATATAAAAAATTAAAATAAAAACAGAAAAATTATTTAAATTGTGTGACATCAAACTTGTCCAATAATATATAGATTTACTCTGTGTTGAGCCCTCTTTTATTAAATGTTCCAGACAGTGGAATTATACTTCATTTCTTTCCATCTTACCTTGATATATATATATATATATATATATATATATATATATATATATATATATATATATATTTGAATAAGGTGTATTTCGACAGCAATAATTCTTTCAAATATGTTTCATTGCATAATATTGACAAGTTCTGTCTATAAATTTTTTCAAATTCCGAGTTACCTGTTTTATGTTATCGATAAATTTGTCAAAGTTCATATTTGTTTTCTATTCTCTATCATTTTTTTCAGAGTACTTTTCGAATGTTGTTATTAGGTTGGTGCAAAAATAATGCCGTAATAATGTCGTTTTTTTGACGTTAAAAAATACGTCAAAAAACGACATTATTACATCATTATTTTTGCACCAACCTAATACCTTCATTTTCAAGGACTGTGTGTGTGCATATTTACACAACTGTTTTTGTTTCATTCCGACGTTCTCACGTTTGTTGGATCCAATTTCAACTCACTTAAGTTAAAAGTCGTTTAAACGGTGGAAGTGTATGACATAAAACAACTAATTCGGAAATTTGAAAAACTTAATAAAAACATTGATAGACAGAACTTGTCAATATTATCCGACCAAACATATACATAGTATAACAGCAAAATTGTCCAAATCATGTTACTGAATAATTGTCCATCCCACAAAATGTTTAACATCTACAAACCACTAATCTAATTGAGTTTGTTTATTGCAGACTTTTAGATAAGACGTTTAGCCATGTTGACACCATTTGTCGTAAAAACCACTGAAAAATCCTTTGAGTTACTCCGCTAAAAAGAGAATAGATTAAAATCGTTTTGTGTCAGACCCACTGTCTTCTCAACCAATGGTGAGAGGAAAAAAGATCATTTAGGCTTTCAGTAATGGTACTAATATTCATACTCTGGTTTCCATCTAAAGTCCATTCCAGAACATAAAAAGATCGTTGATTAAGTTAAAAAAATAGAGAATAGTAGAGAAGAAAACCGGATCCTGTCCTCCCAACAGGAAGAAAGATTATCATTTCAACTTAGAGCAAAAGAGACCAATTAG